GAAAGTTCTTGCGCCTATAGCGCCGTTCTGTTTATTCAAACTTTAATTAATGCCACAGTGAGCCACTAGAAAATTCAACCTTTTCATCAGCAAGTCTATTTTGTCGCTTTCATTTTGAAGCTAACTTCAAACTCATTTTAGTGGTTGACCGAGTTGAAGCGGAACGAGAACAAAATTAACTCAATGGAATGCGCCTTTTCCTGATTCTCAGCGACATTATACATAATTCTCTTTGAGCTACCTGTCTAGTGCTATTTTTGAATTTTATGCAACATCGAATTACGATTTGTTAAACGTTGCACTTGAAAAGTTATTTGACTTCTATCTCAGGTTGTTTAACCTCCAGATTTACCTGTAAAAATGTTGAAATTTCAAGTTCCTCTCTAAGCCTGATATTCGATAAGTAATAAAAGTAAAATGAGTTGAAATTGAACTCTCACAAATAGGCTTTCTATTTATCTTAGTTCTTTTAATTCTTCATTTTTAGTTCAAATTAAAGTATATTATTGAGTTTTGGTATTACCATTAATCTACATATTCTTGTTTATGTACGATTAGTGAAAGCAAATTTATTGTCAATATTAATTAATATCGACGAACTCTAACGTACTTAATCCTCACTGAATAATTATATACACAGATTTACGTGGATTATTAATTAATCCTTTGTAGCTAAAAGCTTTAGTTTGTAAAATAATTACATTTTAAGAATAATATGGATTGAATGATCTTTCGTACAAATTGTATATGCGTTCAAGTCACAAGACTAATGTAATCACATTGAATCATTGAATCCGAGCGATTCAATGATTTAATGCGAGCATCAATTACATAGGATTCAACAGAGGATCAACAGTGATTGACATCGAATGATCTTCCAGCTGAGTTGTCGCGGGGCTGCAATAATGACGATGGGGGAAAGGAAAATTGGAGTAAGTAGATGAAGCCGAAAGATAGATAATATACCTTAATGCTCGAAATCCGGAGAGCGGATAAAAACTGTGGGAGAGTGTGTGCGCGCGAAGATGACGAAAAATTGGATAACTTTTGAAGGGGACGTAGAGTTGCATCGATTTTGAAAGAGAGATAATGACTGCACTGAAGACCATAGAATTAAAACGACTGAGCTTTCTTTTTTCTTCTTGAACTCTTTTACTTTTTCAGCGGCGTTCTTCTTCTATAGCATACCAGCAGAGCCTATCTCTAACTATATTTCTTCTGTATCCTGCCTGTCACTTTCTCTTCTCATGTCTTCCCGTGCCCTGCCTCCCCGCCGTTTCCTCTCTCCAAATCCTTCTTATCTAAGTGGGCCTACGATTCAACTATTCGTTGGCGGAAATGTTTTACGCCAGGATTAACTTATTTTATTTGACTTCCGCTCCTTTGTTTACGATCCTTTTCGGTTGTTCTACCAGCATCTCTTTTGCTGTTACACGCAACCAGCAGTGAGTTGGAAAACATGTTGAGGAAAATGAAAAAAAATATATTTGCGAGGTTTGCGCTTGAATGGTCGAATCTTCTTTGAAGTGAAGCGAAGTGTACCGGTGTGTGCTGATGTGTACGAGTGAAGCAAGAATCCAAGTTTCGTTGACCGACTTAACAAAAAGTCTCGAGAGAAGCTATGCAAGAGCACAGCGCAGCGGGGAAATACCCAAGCGCGGTAGCACAGACACGCGCAGGAGGAAGGGCTGAAATAACCGAAGGGATGCAAAGGGGCAGCAAGAGAGGAGGAGAGAGACAGAGAGCAGCAGGAACAGTAAAAGCAGCCGGAGACTTAGGGGCGTCGCGCTTCGAGATTTCTCAGGGGACGCGAGGTCGCGCGATTCCTTAAGCTAAGAGGTCGATTTTAAAAATGACTTGGAATTGGGATCGAGCAACGGACAATGGAGCATTATGCGCCTTTTCTAGGTCAACTCTTGCGAGAAATAATTCACCAACGATGGCTTGCCGGTGGCGGCAGCGCTAGCGGGTTACGTGCAATGCCTTTGAATTTCACGATGATTTTATTCGCGCTACTACTAACCTCTTGGCTTTGTCATTGTCCCGTATTGAACACATATGTTTAAGGTGTACGCTTTCACGGAGCAAGGAATGTGTTATCAGATATACGTCTTTGAGTGGTCTTGCTGAAACGTAATGAAATTGATGAGCCTCATTCGTCTCTGCCGAGCAAATGAACATGGAATTCAATTCGCCCGAGACAAGCGTTCGACATTAGGTCGTCGCTGTGAGTAGGTGTCCTCGGCAGTGTTAGCCAATTGTCACAATGGCGCCTGTCACTAGTTCATGCGGTTAGACCAAAGGACATTCGGATCTTTGGGAATTGCGGTTGGAAATTGATTTCAAACGAGAGACGCCCGTAGCTAGTTCTGCTCTGCCGTCTCGTGGTCCTGTACCAGCGTCTCTATATCTTCTCTTCGTTCGTAATCGATTCACAAAATTTTACAAAGCGTTCTCGGTTTTCATACAACTACCAAGTTTTCTATCAACAAGCTACGTATACGATTTATTTCGATGCTGTATCCGTCCACTTTCAGTTTATTTCGAACAATAATAATCAAACATTTGATAGCATTATCGTTGCACGTGATCAGCGATATGTACATAAATTATTGTAATAATTATTATTAATAGGTAAATCTTCCGCTCCAGCCTGGATCCGTGAGAGTAAACTCATAAATGTGGAAAGTTCTATCTGGCTAGCATATGTGCGCGATTTACGCACATATGCTTTCGCACGTATCAAACAAGCAGGCTTAGACAATTATAGAATTTAATAACGCTTATTGATGAACTTGCTAGAAAATACATTGACTTGCACAGGCAGAAAATTGTATAATATTCAAGATATGTCTTTACCTTTTATTTCTAATCCCATACAGTCGTACGAGTACTTAAAAGGTTTTATAACAGCTTACTTTTGCGTTTTTTAAATGCAAGTACGGGAGACTGTATTACATAACATATTTATATATTAATATCTTCGCACGTATACGTAAGTGTATGCATGCGTGTTGACATATTACATTTTATCATCGCAACGCATCGCAATAAGATGAAAACTTCGAAGCATTGTTTCAGTCCAATATGCATGCGTACTTTCAACAGATAGAATTAGTTAGTTTATTTATTTCGCGTTAATGTTCTTTCAAGTAACCAAAATGTTGCTGAGTAGTACTTAAATATGGTTTCTCAATGATAAATATTTTTTCTGAAATTGAAACATAATATTGCAACTTTTACATATCTGCAGCAACTTTGGATGATAATTTTATTCGTAGTTCAATTTATTAATTTAATTTAATAAAATTTAGTTTCGAGTATATATATCGTTAGTTGTAATAGATTGAAGTGATAGAAAATACTATAAAAAATGTGGTAGTACAAGTTATGTATTATAATTGTTTTTCTTATACAGTGAAGTAATCAAAGCAAATAAATTATGACATACCTGATAATGAAGACGATGATTGAACATGAAAAATGCGCGTAGAAAACATAAATTGATAATATTTGTCAAAGTAAATGAAACAAGCCGGTAAATAAATCGAAATAACTAATCCAGTTTCATTTTATCACTCATTATAATTTTTTTGGATGATTCTGAATAAAAATAAATATCGATAAAGAAAACAGTAGAAAGGTTTACTAGAATATGAATAAAGACAAGTAGAAAATTATACGTTAAACTGTTGATTTATTAGAAGTTTTGACATTCAACAGGATTACAATATAAGTACAATTTGCAATGACATTTCCAAGACCATGTACATTTTTATATTAAATTTGTAGTTAAAAACATGTGCCGCATTGAATTTCATCGAAAAAATGATTTTTTTTTTTAGCATTAAAAAGTTCAGCTCGATTGATCAAGGCTAGTAATAAGTATCTAGTGTAACTTGAATATTACTTTGGATTTGAACATTAACACTGTTTTACAATGATGGATTGTTATAATTATGTAAAGTAAATTTTATAAAATGTTGAAAAATTGTTTTATGATTGAAAGCATCTTTTTCAACGGAAACATTGAATTTGCGAGTTATTGTAAGTTAGCATAATGGATGGAAATTATCTAGATTATTGTATTGTCGAGTGAATGAATACGACCTTGATTAGGCGCATAAAATATAATATATTGAATAAGTCAATCTTCTACATAATTTTTAAAAGTAAATGAAAGTTCTTTAGCAATGTCCGACAGTTCTTAAATGTAGAGAAATGAATCTTTGAGAAATAGATAAAATCTTAAGACCCAATGATACTGAGAAAAATAAAAATAAATCTACGTGTTATTATCTCTCCAACTATTTAGTGCTTGTGATCACTCGAAAACTGTTTGCTGAGCAACGAAATCGTGGAAACAGAAGGAGAAGGAAAAGCAAAGTACATCTTCAGTATGAGAGTTCATTCCTCTGGACGCTTTGAAAACTGTGTTCCCTTTCACGCTTGCCGCAGCGATTTGTAATTGACGTCTAGTCGCAGTTTCCCGCGGCTGTATGCTTTCTTTTCTCTTTCTCTCTCTTTCTACTTTCCTCTCTTCCTCATTCGTCCTCTATTGCACGACAGCACGCCTTCCGAGCATTATGCCTTGGGCGATCTCGTTTAAAAGTGCACGTCGAAATTAATAAAAGCAGCCAGTAGAATTAACAAGCTTTCCCAAGTGCTGATCTAAGCTTCTGCTTGAAGCCTTTGCAGCTTTCTTCGTGGTCTGCTAATTGAATCTTGAATGCACTTGCACTTTCATAGTTGGAGATACTTTGTATGTTTGTAATTGTTTTAAGGGTGGCAAACAAATGTGAAAAAAGTCGAGTAAGAACTGCGGGTTGGTCCTGATAATCCGGCGATTGAGCGCAGCATCGAGATCGGTAAAAGTTTTGTTAGAGAGAGATAGAGCATGGAATCAGTCTTTTGATATTTGAAAGAACATTAACACGGAGTTGGTAGGCTGGATAAAAGCGAGCGGTGGTGGTCGATTTAAGGAATAGAGTCTATCTTACCGAGAAAGCTTTGAGGAAGACGAGGCACTGTATGATGCCCTCCATCGTATCTCCCGATAGACAAAACGTACCGTTCAGGTGATGGCCTTTGCGGCCGATCACCGAGCAGAGGCTCGCTTGCACGAAAGAGTTCTGCGATCGCGAGGCCGCCGCGACAGCCGGCTGCTGCTTAGCTACACTGCCCATCAAGCGCTCCAACGAGTCCATTTTGCTCAGCCTTCTTCTTGCAGTAGCGCTGATCCGCTTATGCAAACCCACTTAATCGTCCGTTAACTGGCTGACGGCATCGCCGAGCCTTGCTCGAAAGGCAGCGGACCAACGGAGCGACCTTCGCTATTGCACACTGCGAGAGGATGGGATCGTCAGCGGTCTCGACAGAACGCGTTGACGCTTCCGTCGATCAGACGTACACGTGTTTGCCGAGCTGGGCAAAGGACTTTGGCTCGATGAGTAGCTCACCGCTGCCAGTATCCCTCTTCGCAAACAGAGAGTGCTCACTGCCCCTCGCGCTCCTCCTCGGACCCGCTTGTCGAGCGTTCGCTCGCGATCGAGACACTCGTCAGCATCAGTCGCAGCAGCGGAGACCGGAGGGAGACGCTTCTCTGTCCCTCTCTATCTGCTGCAGGCTCGTCGCCAAACTCGAGTCTTCTTCGCGGGCTGCGAATTGCGAGCACGCGCGCGCTCCTTTCTGCCTGTCGTTCATTCGGCGTCCATCCGACAAGGCCGCGCCAACTGCGCCAACTGATACTGCACTCAGGCGATCGAGTAGATCTTGGGCGAGGGCGGCGAGGCTTGGCTCGGATTCGCTGCGAGCTTGGTCGGTTCAACGATCACCGGGGCGGAGTAGCGTCTGAGCATGTCGCACACCTCGTAGCACAGCACGCATATGCCCAGTATGAGGAAAGTATCCATGTTTGCGGGACCGAGCTGTCGGAGTACGAGCGCTGCGAGCGACTTGCTGAGTTGCGCTGCCGATCGGGCGACCGTGCCGCCACCGGCAACTGGCACTGACAGCTTCGGCGATTTTCAGGCTTGATTGCTCCAAAGTATCACTGCCGCTGCTTCAGGCATTCATCGCCGCTCCGACCCCGTCAATCGATGAATAATGCAGCCGCGGCCAGCGGCGCGCGGCACGCGACCGAGCAAGAGAGAGAGAGAGAGAGAGAGAGAGAAAGGGAGGGAGGGAGGGAGCCGGTAACGATGTGGTGAGCTCAGCAGGCTGCGTCCACGTGTTCCCGCAGCTTGTACGGTAAGTGCATGGTGCGCGCGTCTGTCGTCGATTGGCAGAGTGGCTGGGACCAGTCGTGGCGAACGCACGCAAGAGGACGCCGCAGCGGCAGTACGACAAAGACGAGTCGTAGAGCGGTCGGCGAGAGCGAAGCTACTCGGGCCGCAAGTGGCGTGTGACTAGCGGATGGAAAGCAGACTGCGAGGGTGCGCCAGAACGAGAGCGAGATGCTGGGCGACGGCGCGGCGGCGCCGCCACCAGCACCACCCTCCCGACCGCCGTTCTCGCTCGCTCTCTCACGGCCCGCATCCGCCCTATCCCGAGCGGCGGAGGCGCGCGCAGCCGCGCTAGAGGGGCAGCGGCGGCAGCTCCGCTTGTCTACTGGCGCACTGCACTCGCGTTCGCGCTGACGCCACACTAGCTGCTCGCCTTGCTACTCGCCTCCTCGTGGCGCCTCGCACGGCTCACCACTGGAGCCTTCCTAGACCCGCGCCCCCGCCGTTCCTCGCTCAGTCTTCACCCTGCTCGCTTTTATAATTCGTCCCTCTATTGTCTCTGCTCCTCGTTTTTGCGCGCGCGCTCTCTCTCTCTCCCTCTCTCGCCAGATCAAGTCTGCTCTTGTCATCGTCGTCGTTGTTCGCCCGCTTTTCCCTTTTGACCGGCATATCTGCACTGCAATCTGCTCTGCCGCGACCACCGCCGCCCAACCACCTCTTTCCAGTTAATTTTTTACAGCCTCTCGTCGGCGCTTTATGGATCAATTAACAAATCATTAATTCGCCAGGCAGCCTGTAAATTCACTGCGCGGTCGACAAGAGGCATTCATCTTCTTGCAGGGCGCTGCTGCTGCTCTGACATTCCAGACCGATCAATTATAATCAAGCTGTTCTCGCTCTCCAATGCGAAGCACACCAAAAATCTTTTGTTGGCAATGCCCGTCGAAGCGAAAATCAAGTTAAGGTGTGAATGTTCAATTGGTGGAATAGCAAGTGATCAACACGTCGCGCGTTAACCTTTCGCTCGTTCATCTGCAAGCAATGCAGGTTAATTGGTGTGTGCCGGTGCCACCACTGCAGGCCGCGATGCACGTGTCGCTATCAATTATCAGAACAAAGCCCACGGAGATACCTGCGCCAAAGCAGAGCTCAATGCATGTCTATATGTATTGAAACAGCTTCGATAAGCGCTACATGCACCTTGTGCCCTCCGATCTGGCAATTCGATTATGGCATAGAGTATGGTTTGCAGCTGTCAGCGAACCTGCCGCGCACCTACTTTTGTCGAGTGCTCTTGGTAGTTCTCGCGAATACGGCTGACTAGCTTCCGCCACTTCATCGAGCAGCTTTGAAAATGTATGTACCTGAGGCTCCCGAGCACCGAGAGCACCGTGAAGAGCCAGATTATCATGGTCGGTCTTTATTTTCTGCGAGAACAAAACACGTCAGTCGGCCAAGCAAACCTTTTACATCTTGACATTTCTATTACTTGTTGAATCAGCGAACGTCGATGACGTGCTTCGCGCGCAGCTTCTCCGTCGCCTCTACGCGGCCGACCGTACAGCGAGCTCCTCTACTCGAAATGTCGCTGGCCGAGCTGCCGAGCTTGTAATGCGCCGCAACTTCGCAACTCGCAGCCTTTCACCGTCGAGATGGACGTTCAACAAGTAAAATGTTGCAAACAAATGAGAACTTTGTCGCGTCGATCAATCACTTGTGACAGTCGACAAGCCATAATGGGCCCAGCGACAGAAAGTGATATGTGGTCGCTAGTATCTAGCTTACAAATGAGCGTCGCGCGCGAAGCAGAAATACAGAAAGCGAATGAGGTAAATTTGTTGTTTGAAGCTATAATAAATTATACGCCGTGGAGAAGCGAGGCGGAGGCGGAGGAAGAGGCGGTTGATTTGCCGCATGTTTGAACGCGTGACGGTCAGCTGGCTACCGCAGAGCGAAAGTGCTTTAGAAGCAGAGATAAAACTGACTTGCGAGAGTGGCGAGGGGCGGCTTGGCGGCGGCACTCGGTCTGCCAACTCGCGGCGCTCATTGAAAGGAAACATAGTTAGTTGGACGACTCGCGGGAAATTTATCCGCCCATTATTTCCCACGTGGCGTTGCGCTACGTTATACGGCCAACTTGTCGTCGCCGCATGCGCGCAGCTCAAGTGGTGATTCACGCGACGAGCTGGATACTTACTCAAGCAAATTACCAAATAATGCTTCACAAGTGCCAGTCTGTAAATCAACCTCCAACACACACGAGGCCTCTCACGGATACAACGCATATATATCTCGCGAGCCGAATCTACATATCACCGTTGAGCCCACTAAGATCACTTGGTTCCGGTCATTCGTTAGCCGCTTACTGTCAGCGAATCACTTGCACTTCAGCCCAATGGTGCGCGCAAGTGAACAGCTCGAGAAAAGTGTTGGCCGAGTGTGGGAGCTTCACTACGAGATCATTTGCAGGCTAGCTCGCATCCAATTATAGTTGCAGTGCAGCGGTAGCACTAGTACTCCGATAGCCAGCGCTGCGCTCTATAGCTACGTCGACTTTTTCCGACTGACGGGAATGGAGAAATTTACGCTCAAGCGCGCCAATACAGGCGTGCTCGAGCCATTAATTATTGCGAGTCGGCCGAATAGTAGCACCAGTACTAGCCGGTCGGCAGAGGGCACCGGTGCGTCGCTCGCTGAACCGCGATTTTCCGGGCGACCGAGGTGCCTCGGGAGCTTGCAGGCTGCTCGCAGTGGCAGTGTCAGTGCGAATATATTGAAAGGGTCGACAGCCGGCAAAATTTAGCGCTCGCCGTGCTATTGATATACTTGAACATTTACGGCTGCGCTCACGGCGTTCACTTGGCTTCGGGCTGTAAATTTGGCCGTTGCCCAATAATATACGTCCCTTTTCCAGCAGGCAGCGCGACATCGCGGACGCATTCAACTTGCCTCACGTCAACATCCGGCCGGGTAGCAGGAGACAGTTACCCATGCACACGGGATGAATGCCATAACCAGGAGTACGCGTCCTCTTTTTTGCGCGTCTTCTTGAAAGATCACCGCCGTCGCTATCACTGACGTCTGCCTTATACTTCTGCGCGCGGGCTATGGTGCCAGTGACGCGGTGCACTCTACAATCTCCATGCAAAGTTTTCACTTTACTGCCACAAGCATGAGCCGATCAATTTCCTTTGCGTGCGCTTGTTTTCTTGCCTCCGTCTCCAGGCGCATCGTTCGCCAATTGGAGAAAGTCTCTTGGCTGATTTTTGTAGGGCCACGAGGATGGGCGATCGACTGTGGAAGGCAAACGGCAGCAGCAGTGGCGCGCGACCGAGCCGAGTGAGAGCAGAGACAAGAAAAAGGCTGCGGATGAGTCGGGTTCGCTGCGTAGCGCAGTGACGGCAAACGACACGACTATCAGAGTCCGCTGAAAGATTAATGGACTTGGCACGAGTCGCAATGCTGGACAGGGGGCCAGGAGAAAGAGAGAAAGAAAAAGAGAGAGATCGATCGATATGTAGCACTGAATTTTTGGTCCATTCAGTCGCCGACAGCACACGGCTGATCGTATGTTTATTCCTGTGAATAACAGCTCCCGCTCCCCTGCTAACAGCGTGCACACGCAGCCGTCGACTCTGCTCTGCATGCGCGATATTGTTTATTTGCGACATATCTGTTGGCAATCGAACCGACGGCAGAGCGACATCGTCGCTTCAAATGAGCGGAGCATAATGAGACGATGACAGCGCCGGCATAGTCGCTCTAAAAGCGCGCGCAAGCCTAGAATCAGGTTAGCGGGAGGTGTGCGGATCGTGGAAGCTCGCAAGCTTCCAAAAGGAATCAGCCCCGGAGGATCGTCAAAGGAGCCATTATCATCGTTTAGCCGCGCTAAAATGGCGGCCTCGATGCGGCCCCTCGAAACATCTGACGCGAGCCCCCTTTTCTCCCCCCCCCCCCGGTCATATGTTAAAGCCCCAAGCGCCACTCTACTCGGGCTGCTAACTCGACGACGCCGGAACGACGAGAGTGAGGGCTCTCGGCAAATTCCGCGTCACGAGCGCCATCGGGATTACGCAGGTCAGCGGAGCCTCGGCTAGGCGCTTGATTATGCACATGCACAATGAGAGCCGTTATACGCCCCGACGCGACGCCGCCCGTACCTCCTGCTAGCGCTGCGGAAAAATGTGCGAAACGACCACCGCGTACCTACCCAAGATTAATTCGCCCCCCTGCGACCCTGCACTTGCTTATCGAGTTAACAAGATTAAAGAAATTGCTACTATCCATTCTGCGCTTAATAACGCTCCGACTATTCGCTGCTGCACGGCCGATACCAACACGCTTACGCTTACGCCATATGATGCTCGTGTATTATCGATGGTTTCCTTACACGCTTCGCGGGCAAGCTCCCGCCACCGTTAGAATTAACATTGCTCGCTAAATCTATCTGCATTCTTTCATATTTTCAACCAAGTTTAATCTATCAAGCTTCGAATTAAGAGAATGTCGAAGCACATCGCCTACATTGATGACAGTTTTCTCGATCAATCATGAGCTATTTGTCGATATCTGAGTCATCAACTCTTACTTAAGTAAACTGGAAGAGTGGACGATGCGGATAGATTTGGGTGGCATGCCCTGACATTTATCGGCTTAGACACACATGCGTGCCCGCACGCTCGATGGACGTGTTATTTTCAAAATACTGAATGTCAACGGTATCGCAATCATTAATAGTTTCCAACTTGTTCCTAAACCTCTCTCTCGCAGAAAGGCTCAGTCATTGTGTTTCGCTCAGTTTATCGGTCAAACTGACTATATCAAGTTTCTAACTAAACTTCTCACATTGACAAGTAATTTTCGCGGATCTTGGCTAGGCAACAACATATCAGGATTAAGCAGCGTTACTGCAACGCATCCACGATGCAAATATCGCTTCACGGGAAAATATGACACAACCCCATTTTCGTGCAAGAGTGAAAACATTCCTGAATGCTACGATGATTGCATTAAAAAACATAAACTCTCACGATAGTAAACGTGATTGAGCAAATATTATGCCTGCGCTCTACATTGATAAATAGATTTTAACTTGACAACACTGCATAATGATGCCAAATTGAGTCACCAACGACATACTGTAAGCCTCTTCTGCTTCGATGACTGCCGATGATCCTTTTATTTTTTATTTGTTATTATGTTTTTTTTTGGTATCAAAGTCATTAGCACCTGCTAGACTGCGATCGCATGTACTCCAGTGTCTAGCGCCTCATCCTGGCATTAACGAAAGGTCATTGTTC